CATTACTCCTTGATGCGAACAAGTCTATTTCTGGAAACCCCCACCTTTCTACTATGGTCTGAAAGAAGGGGGCTCCTAACTCCCATTCAGTATCTACATTGACTCTTCTAGATTCCCTGTCTGCGTCTGTGTTTTCCCGCGAGGGGATGTAGGAAGCAAAGATCCAGATTCTTCTTTTCTCACACCAGGTCCAAATATCTTTAGCCCTTTGATTAAGTTCTACGTATTGTATACCCCCCATACGATTGATATACGAAATTCTAAGTAAGATTTCGCAATTTTGGACTTCCCTAGCAAAGCACTTAAGCGCCAAAAACGCTGCTATAATCTCCAGCTGGTTTATATGTAACCTCTTCTCCTCCTGAGACCAAAATCCGTGAGTATTTTCTCCGTTGCAGTGCGCACCCCACCCTCTGAGCGATGCATCCGAGAAAATCTCTAACCTATAATTTAATGACCTAATCGGATTCTTTGCTACTGGAATATTCTTCAGCCCCCCTCCAGATCTTTCTTTACATATGAATGAATGATCATCCTTCGATCAAAATTTTGATCGTTTAGGATTAGCGCCTTCATTTTTTCTCTTTCCAACATTTTTGTATACAGCATCCCATACGGTACGCCTGGGCATGATTTGTAATCTGGCTCGTCTTTACTTTTCTCTTCATTTATAATGAACCCAAGCTCAGTTAGAGTTTTCCTCCTGACTGCTACATTTTTCTTGCACACGGCCCGAGATTTGCCGATGCAAAGTGTATCATCTATGTACGCTGTCGATAACCATCCCCTTTCTCTAAGAAAGTTCAGGACTGGCTTTAGTAACTTTGTAAATACATACGGACTTGTACAAAGTCCAAAGGGCAAGCATTGAAATTCAAATATTTGACCCCTGAATTTAAATCTTAAAAATTTTCGACTACCCGGACCAATTTTTACCAAGAAATATGCATCTTTCGAGTCTAAAATACATAGAAACTAATTTTTATTTCTTTGCATCCCTCAGTGGCCGCGGCTTGCTGGTTGACTTCGAGACATTGCTGTATGTACTCTTGCTGACCGGCTGAGATGGGGGGAATTTCGTCTGATACTGTTTTAGGCCCTGATACGAGCCCCGCCAGTTTAAAGTGCGTCTAGGGGCTGGCCTGCTTAGTTTCTTGCTAGTACCAGAGGTCGATGGAAGAGGAGAGGCTTTAATCTCTTTGCCGATCTTCTCCATTGACTTTGCAGTTTTTATCTTTTCCGTCAGCTTCTCTCCAAACAACAGAGACCCAGGCTTGGTTGTCTGTAACAGATTTTTCGTTGACTTGGTCAATATTGGAGAGATAAACGCTCTTCTAGCTGAAAAGACCTGGAAATGTAGCTGCGTAATTAGTTTTCCTGCATCCGCTAATTTTTCTAGTAACTCCAGATGATCTAGGGGTTCTTCCTCATCTTTTAAAATCATCGTGATGCCTTGTCCTAATGCTGATAAGGCTGAACCAGCTAAGTTCTGTTCTTGGTTAAATAGCTGATCCCTCCTGACACCCGTTTCGTTCAGAGTATCTGCTATTTCTTCATTTAATTCTGGGGCCTCGAGAGAAATATTCCCCTTTCGAGGATATTTGTCCACTACTTGGACTTTAATCTCTTTCGGCAATCCGTCAGACAACCAAGATGCCCAACGCGACACCAAGCTCTCATGCAGCTCTACTTGATCTTTTTTCTTAGCCCCTGGATCCTCTCCTAGAAGCAGTTCCACCTCGTTATCTAGCTTCTTAGACTCAGCTGCCTCAGTAGACTGGGCATCATCCTTTACTACTAGGCCCTCTTCCTCAGCCTGCATCTGATCTCCTCGAGGATCTTGTCTGAGTCCGAGGTACACCTGACTGACTCTTTGAACCCGGGATCCCCAACTAGAGGATTGACGGATTCATTTTCTTTACCAGGGTCAAACTGATTTCCATCTGCAAGGAAAAATAATTACTTAATTTTTCCCCTAATGCCAGATGAAAATTTTATGCACTGGTTGTTATTGCCTCCTACGTGCAAAATTCACCAGCCTGGACGCCCGTCAAGGTCTCAAATCATTAATTAATTTTTCCCCTAGTGTCGGATGAAAATTTTATGCACTGGTTGTTATTGCCTCCTACGTGCAAAATTCACCAGCCTGGACGCCCGTCAAGGTCTCAAATCATTAATTAATTTTTCCCCTAGTGTCGGATGAAAATTTTATGCACTGGTTGTTATTGCCTCCTACGTGCAAAATTCACCAGCCTGGACGCCCGTCAAGGTCTCAAATCATTAATTCATTTTTCCCCTAGTGTCGGATGAAAATTTTATGCACTGGTTGTTATTGCCTCCTACGTGCAAAATTCACCAGCCTGGACGCCCGTCAAGGTCTCAAATCATTAATTAATTTTTCCCCTAGTGTCGGATGAAAATTTTATGCACTGGTTGTTATTGCCTCCTACGTGCAAAATTCACCAGCCTGGACGCCCGTCAAGGTCTCAAATCATTAATTAATTTTTCCCCTAGTGTCGGATGAAAATTTTATGCACTGGTTGTTATTGCCTCCTACGTGCAAAATTCACCAGCCTGGACGCCCGTCAAGGTCTCAAATCATTAATTCATTTTTCCCCTAGTGTCGGATGAAAATTTTATGCACTGGTTGTTATTGCCTCCTACGTGCAAAATTCACCAGCCTGGACGCCCGTCAAGGTCTCAAATCATTAATTCATTTTTCCCCTAGTGTCGGATGAAAATTTTATGCACTGGTTGTTATTGCCTCCTACGTGCAAAATTCACCAGCCTGGACGCCTGTCAAGGTCTCAAATCATTAATTCATTTTTCCCCTAGTGTCGGATGAAAATTTTATGCACTGGTTGTTATTGCCTCCTACGTGCAAAATTCACCAGCCTGGACGCCCGTCAAGGTCTCAAATCATTAATTCATTTTTCCCCTAGTGTCGGATGAAAATTTTATGCACTGGTTGTTATTGCCTCCTACGTGCAAAATTCACCAGCCTGGACGCCCGTCAAGGTCTCAAATCATTAATTAATTTTTCCCCTAGTGTCGGATGAAAATTTTATGCACTGGTTGTTATTGCCTCCTACGTGCAAAATTCACCAGCCTGGACGCCCGTCAAGGTCTCAAATCATTAATTAATTTTTCCCCTAGTGTCGGATGAAAATTTTATGCACTGGTTGTTATTGCCTCCTACGTGCAAAATTCACCAGCCTGGACGCCCGTCAAGGTCTCAAATCATTAATTCATTTTTCCCCTAGTGTCGGATGAAAATTTTATGCACTGGTTGTTATTGCCTCCTACGTGCAAAATTCACCAGCCTGGACGCCCGTCAAGGTCTCAAATCATTAATTAATTTTTCCCCTAGTGTCGGATGAAAATTTTATGCACTGGTTGTTATTGCCTCCTACGTGCAAAATTCACCAGCCTGGACGCCCGTCAAGGTCTCAAATCATTAATTAATTTTTCCCCTAGTGTCGGATGAAAATTTTATGCACTGGTTGTTATTGCCTCCTACGTGCAAAATTCACCAGCCTGGACGCCCGTCAAGGTCTCAAATCATTAATTCATTTTTCCCCTAGTGTCGGATGAAAATTTTATGCACTGGTTGTTATTGCCTCCTACGTGCAAAATTCACCAGCCTGGACGCCCGTCAAGGTCTCAAATCATTAATTCATTTTTCCCCTAGTGTCGGATGAAAATTTTATGCACTGGTTGTTATTGCCTCCTACGTGCAAAATTCACCAGCCTGGACGCCTGTCAAGGTCTCAAATCATTAATTCATTTTTCCCCTAGTGTCGGATGAAAATTTTATGCACTGGTTGTTATTGCCTCCTACGTGCAAAATTCACCAGCCTGGACGCCTGTCAAGGTCTCAAATCATTAATTCATTTTTCCCCTAATGTCGGATGAAAATTTTATGCACTGGTTGTTATTGCCTCCTACGTGCAAAATTCACCAGCCTAGACGCCCGTCAAGGTCTCATCCTATAGAGTCCTGACGTCGTGTTATTTTTATCGAGTGATTTTATAAATGTGTCCGTCAGACACTGCACCACTCTTTCTAACCTCTTAATCCGCTTCTCGCCATTGCTCTCCTCCTCTTTCTCTGCTGCGTTCCCCCTGATCTTACTGTAATTTTCGTCTGAAAGACAATAAAGGACAATAATTCTTGAATAAACAATTAATTTCTTGATAGACTTAAATCCTCAAACATGTGGTTTATTCTAGCACAAAAAACGTTATGACCATAGAAAACCCTAGTGAGGGTATTCTATGGTTATGACGATTAGCCGCTAGGGTGCGGCGTAGGAGCAGGCGGCGGGAAGCCGAAATTTTAAATTTATTCTCTAAAGCTTGTGGTTGGATCTAGTCAAAGTAGCGGTACTACGATGTAATCTCGAAGAACGAGACTCGTAATATAATCAGTCTTACCTTAGCAAGTGCTAGCCCCGACCACCTGCCCCTATTTTCGCAGAGGATATGTCATTTGCCAAAATCAGTCTTATCTTACCAGGGACTAGCCCCTCCCACGGTTCCTCTACTTTTTAGAGAAAGTCATTTGCGAAAATTAGTTTTATCTTAACAAGTACTAGCCCCACCCACCCGCCCTTTATTTTCTTATGGGATTTGTCATTTGCCAAAATCAGTTTTATCTTACCAGCTTCTATCCCCGCCCACCAGCGCACTTCTCCTTATAACGATTTCATTCTCTTCAGTGTAAGAGTGGCAATGGGAAAATCACGAATCGTTTTGTTATACTAATTGCTATTAAATTTGTTTTTTTCTAGAACTGAATAACTTGAATAGTGTTTATAGAGATGTGACGGGTTTCTTTTATATACAGATTCTATAGTGATAGTTTGTATTGACAGATTTGGTATAACCACAAAGAACAAAAAATATGCATACTAAGAGTTAATTTCTGGGACTAGTTAAAAAACTTACGATTTATTGTTACACATACTACATCAAGAATTGTTATAACAGATTTTAATAGTGGTGAAGCACAAGTACAAATAAAAGTGTTTATCTCTTTAGGAATTGACTTGCTGAAGTAGTGCGAAATAAGACCAAGAAGTTTTCACAATCTAAAAAATTATTACGCATGGTACATTATCTACACTTGTCAGAGCTCTTACGGCCATAAATGATTCCAAAGATAAGTAAAACACATTTAGTGATGACAATCTAAGAGGCGTCTGTGACGTGAACATGAAAAACCAGATATTCTTTTGGATCTCTTTAGAGAAATCGGGCCATTTAGATCCGTAAATTGCAAAGGACACATTGTTACTCTAAAACAAAAAATTGTTAAAAGTTATTTAGACAGAACTTACCTGCCCTTGAAGCACTCACAAGTTGCTGTAAACAGTTTTAATTACCTTAACTTCTACTTCGTTGCCGAACCAACAATATATAAAAATTTGAGCTACTACTGCCATTTCATAGGATACCAGAAACAAAAATTCCGCTGAAAATGGCGCAACCTGAAAAAGTTTGTTAGTGTTGGTTGGTCAGATTCGTTATCACTACAATCTACAATAGTTATCTGGAAGAGTGTTATTCCCATTATGATGACACTAATAAAAAACTGCAAAAGAATGATCGATTCCAAGAACTGGCTGGTTTTTTCAGCAAAACTGAAACAATATAATAATTAATAAATTACTGGGTTTTATTTATCAACATTTTACCTTAGAATCAGCCAATGGTGTTTGATGCACTTTACCAAATTCGCTTTCACGTTGTTACTAAAGTGAAGGTTCTTTAAGTTATCACACAAAATATCAAACTGACTAGAAATATACATATTTAAGGCAGATACGAAAGTATCAGTGTTGATGTGTGAAAAGCCAATATAAGCGAAGGTGAGAATTTGATGAATATAAGTTATTTCGTAAAAAGGTGAAATGCTGGTGTCGTATGGATACCAAGCTAAAAATGGTAATCCATTTTCTCCATTAGCTTTACCAAATAGGGGAAAAGCTGCCCAAAATAAGTTGCCACCTACAGCCGTCACCATAAACATTTGGTACATGATCTTCCAGGAGTCCAAGTTTGGTTGAACCAAAACAACTTGATTGGCGTCTCGTGGTTGAAACAAGTCGTGGTTTAACATTCTCATCAGTGTTTTGACGGTGGACATGTTTTTGATAAAGTAGTACATTTTTAAAGCCCACATAACCTCTGTTAGTAGCAAGTAAATATTTCCAGTGAGGGCGACTAAGTCGTCAAGAACGAAGAACAAATTTGTTGCTTGGGAAATCAGTGATACTGGAAAGAATATTATGATGAGAATTACGGTGCGTGCGGTGTAAAAATCTAGTTTGAAAGCTTCATAATCTTTAGGCCAAAATCCACAGGTTTTCAGAAGGAGAATGTTAGGTTGGATTGTTATTGTCCAGCAGAATTTTTTCTGAACGCCCATGACTGGAAGAAAACTGAATTTTACTTTTTCGACGATTCTAGTCAACTAGACAATTTCGGTCTCCAACGTCTGATATACTGTGTTTGAGTTCATGTTTATTTAATTGAAATTTTTCCCGTTTTATTAATTACAAAAGAAGCACTTATTATTTTAATTTCTTTAAATTTATAAAGCTTCATAATTATTGCATTCGGTGAAATTATGGTGATGTTGTTTTATGTTAAACCCCTAATTATAACATTTATTAATTAGAATTAAAGCAAATATTTCTTTATCGTCTGTGGTTATTATTTTCATGGGTAAAGAATTAGGGGAGAATACTTAACTTATGAATAATTTGTTAGATTAACGTTTTTGCCGAGTCTGAAACGACAGTTTCTTTTTTGTTGTTGTTTTTTCTCATTATAACACACTAACCCTATCTTGTGCTTATAAATACAAAAATTTAGTGAATAAGGGTGTTGCATTTTTGGCTAAAAATAGTCTCAAATTGAAAAAAGAAAAAAAAAAAAGGAACATTGCTTGATTTGATCATATAAGGTACGTACCAGAAGTCCACTTATGGATCACATACAGAAATACCACAACACTTCTTGCCAAGGCAATGCACCGAATTTAAAAGCTACTACACGATTTGAACTAATAATTGTTTTTGAAGTAGGTATTCTAAAGGACTAATCAGGATGTGCATCTTGCCACCTCCGAGCAAGATCTGCAGTGTTGCACTCGCCACATCGAAGTTTAACTGTGACGATGGTTTGAATTAAAAATGAGCTTCAAGCTTTTCTTTTAAAAAGCCACCTGTATCTTTATTAATTTTCCATGTGAACTAATTATTACTTGCGTTTTTTGCTTGGTATTTGCAAGAAGATTCCATAAAAGTTTCACAGAACTGCAATTCCATAGTGCATTAATACTTAAAACGTTAATTGCCCGTTTTCGAATTGGGTCGATTTAAATTTTGTTACAGAGCTTTTCGCATTCGTGGAATGTTTCAGCTGGAATTAGGTGAAAAGTTCAGGAACGATACAAAGTTTTCTTATAGTAAATAGAACAGTAATAACAAAAAGGAATGAGAGTGTGTTGGGAAAAGAAAAGGAAAACAATAACGAATTTCACACTTTAATAATGTAATAATTAATAAAATATATCAGAACATTGAAAATTGGCCTCAGTTCTACAAAACTGATCAAAAGTTGTTTTGACAGAACTTCCCTCGCACCTAAGTACAATGAAACGTATCCAGCATTTTCGAGTTGAGTTTTTCCTTGACACAATTTTCTGATGACATCATCAACATTTTTTCAAGGACACGTATATGAACTTGGATTGGTGCACTGTTATACTAAAAATAACAGTATCGTATTCCCAAATTTTTCTGGGTAAAATGGAGCCCTGATTTAATCAATAAAATAAATTGACTCATTCATTAATTTTTTCAGACACTCTGTACAAGGAAATGTAAAAATGCAGTGATAAATCGAAAGTATAGACTCATCATATTTTGCACATTTAAGATAGGATTTATTCAGCAATATTTTGAGGTTACGTCATCAATTTTTTAGGAGGGATGAGCAATTACATTTTGGTCAAAAATTTATCATGATTATCATAAATTTAAAACATCTTCAAGATTTCAAAGCAAATGCAAAAATGTTAATGAAAAAATAGTTATAGGAGGGGATTTTAACGCAAGATTGGCCGATAAGGGGACAAAAATAATAGATAAAGAAAAGGGAGAGAAAAGAGGATCAAAAGATAAGGCAAATAACAAAGAAGGGAAAATATTATGGCAGATAATAGAAGAAATGGGATGGGAAATTTTGAATGGAAACAAGGAAGGAGATGAAGAAGGAGAATCAGACCACATGCCACTAGAAATAAAAATCAAAGGAAAAGAACAAGAGTACGAAAAACAAGAGAGAAGAAACGAAAGAAAAGAAATAGAAAAAAGAATATGAGATGAAGAGGGAATTCAAAGATACAGAAGTAGACTATTAAAAAAGAAATTCGAAGTGAAAGAAGATATAGAAGCTATGATAGCGGAATTGAGGAACCTAATTGTAGAAGCTACGGAAAAAAGAAAGATATACATATGGCAAGGGTGGAATAATGGATGGAACGGAGAATGTAGTGAGTTGAAGAGAAAAGCAAGGGAAAAGTTAAGAAAATGGAAGAATAACAAGGGAAGGAAAGAAGAGTACCTAAAAGCAAAAGAGAATTATAGGAGAAAATGGGAAAAAAGAAAAACAGAAAAACGAGAAGAAGAAGAGAACACAATAAAGTCCCTGAAAACAGAAGAAGAAGTATGGAGATATATAAACAAGGAACGGAGAAGAAAGACTGAAATCAGCGGGAAAATCAAAATACATGAATGGAAAAGACACTTTATGGAATTATTGGGAAGTTGTGAGGAAAAATGTTGCAAAATAAATAGAGGAATCACAAGGACGGAGGAAATGTCGAGAGGTTCGGAAATAACAGAAGATGAAATAGGAAGACAGATTGAAAGACTGAAAAGAGGAAAGGCACCAGGATGCGATGGAATCCAGAACGAAGCGTGGATGTTCGGGACAGAAGGAGGGAAAGACAGGATATGGGAAGTGGTGGAGGGAGTTTGGAAGGGAAAAGGGTTTCCTCGGCGGTGGAGAGAGGGTATAATAATCCCATTATTTAAAAAGGGGCAAAAAAGCGATGTGAAGAACTACCAAGGGATCACCTTGCTCAATACGGCGTACAAGATATACTCAATGATACTAGATGAGAGGTTACGAAAGGAGATGGAAGCAAGGGGTATGTTACCAGACGGTCAGGCAGGGCTTAGGAAAGGAAGAGGTACTATGGACAATGTGTACATCCTGCGGTATTTAGTGGGAAGAGAAATAAGGAAAGAGGGTGGACGAATGTACGCATTGTTCATAGATTTCAAAGCAGCGTTTGATAGCGTAAATGGAGAGAAAATGTAGGAGTATTTGACGATAAAGGGAATATGTGTGTACTTGGTAACGAAAATGGAAGAAATATATGAAAAAACAGTAAATACGGTGAGAGTGAATGGAATAGAGAGCGAGAGTTTTTATACAAATAGAGGAGTGAGACAAGAATGCCCACTCAGCCCCGCATCGTTTGCAGCTTATCTAGGAGATTTGGATGAAATGTTCAGAAAAGCACAGACAAGAGGGGTCATAGTCGGCATAGAGAAGAATTGAAAACAATGATTAAAAGTTTCGAGAAGTATGTAAAAAAAAAGGAATTGGAAGTGAATGTGGAAACAACAAAAATGGTGGTGTTTGGGAAGAAAGTAAGAAAGGAGAAGGAAGAGTGGGCATGGAGAAGGAAGAACATTCAACAGGTGAAATAATTCCAGTACTTAGGATATACATTAAAGAGCAATAACTCAGATAGAGCGCATATTCAAGAAATGGTCCAAAAAGCGAACAAAATGATAGGAATAGTATGGGGAATAGGCGAGAGAAAATTTGGACATGATTATAAGAGAAGAATGATGATGTTTGATAGTTTGATCAAAAGTGTATTTATGTACGGAGCTGAGATTTGGGGATGGAGGAAATATGAAGAAATAGAGAGAGTGCAAGAAAAATACTTGAAATGGACATTGGGATTGGAAAAGTATAAGCCGGGGTATATAGTGAGAGCAGAAACAAAAATGGAGAAAATGAGAGTGGAAGCGGGTAAAAGGGCGGTTGGATTTGAAGAGAAGTTCAGTGAGAGAGCTGATTGCAAAATATTGCAAGAATGTTGGAAATTATTATGAAGGAAAGGGATATGCATGTGAAAAAGTAGAGAGAATGAGAGAAATGGGAAGGAGTATGAAAGAAGAACTGAGTGTAAGAGATAAGGATATAGATAAGCAAGAACGCAGATCGAGAATATCGGAGTCTAGATATAAAGCAGAATATAGAAAAATAGTAAAGGATGAAGTACCAAAGTCTACACACAGAGAGAGTATAAAGGAGAAAAGAATGATGGCGATATTTAGGTGTGGAAATGAAGAGAAAGAGAATAATATTTGGATGGATGAAACTGACAGAAGTTGTAGGATATGTTGGAGAGAGGGAGAAACAATACAGCATATGCTGGAAGGATGTGAAGGATTGAGAGAATCGGAGGAAAGTAGGGAAGAAATGCTAAACGAGGACTGGATGAAAGAAGTATGGAAGATAAGGGAACTATGGCAAGGGGTGGACAAGCAGAAATTATAGAACATTTATTATATAAAACTCGAATATTTATTTTATTTTATTTATTTTAATTTTTATTGATTTACATGATGTAGATTAAGTTAATTTGTACCCCTACTGGGAATATTATTAAGCCTGTAAGGCAAATAATAAATTAATACTTCTGTAAAAATGTTGATGACGTTTTCGACAGCGAGGGAAGTACTGTCTAAAGTCTTTAGACCAATTTTTGTTGTTCTGAGACAGCTTATCTTGGGAATGTGCATTGCGATATTACAGGAATTGATAACAACAAAATACTGATAACAAGACGCTTGCGTAATTGCTTTAAAGTGCATGTGTTTAATCTGACCTTGATAATTGCAGACATTCTTTAACAAAAACATTAATAATGTAAACGACTACAAAAACATGATCTTTTTTAAGCTCTTGACGCACAAACCACCAGAACACTATAAAACATGACAACTTTTTCCCCATCACCGCTACCCTTTATAGACAGCTTGTCAGCTTTCTTCACCTCTTCTGTAAAATCTTCAATAAATTCCACTTGTTTATTTTGCGAAGCCACGTTCAATACAGGTACTATCGCCAACGCAAAATCTACCAAACTCTTGATCAGACCACAAAACAACCCAAAACTCTTAACCTACCCAAAAAATGCCTAAACCCATCGAAAGTGTAAGTTCTTTCCTCAAACATGCAAAATTGAACATCAAAACCAGCTTGCTCCAAAAAAAATCTCAGCTTCTTTTCAGGATTGTCGACACCTCGATATGGATTTTTTTTGAAAGGTACCATAGCCGCGGGCCAGTTTTGCTTCTTGATCATGTTGTCGCAGGTTTCAAACAGAGCCGAATCGACTATGACAGTGGCAAACAGATTTCCTCCAGGCTTTAACATTGTGAAAATGTTGCGCATGGCTTGTGGGCTCCTACAAACCTCATAATATTTAAGTACTAAACAAAAACAATTTTTTTACCTCTCTTCTGGGACTAAATTCAAACAATAAAACGACAAGACGTGATCGAAGTGATTTTTGTAAACGTTGTCGTGGTTGTCGCTGATGTCCATCCTGACGACTTCGATCCGCTGGTCGTTGAATCTCGCTCTGGCGAAGTTGGCCATTTTTTCGGATTTGTCGGAAACCACGAGTTTAGTGAAGGGTGGTAAGTTGGGGATTATCACTTCGAGGGTGACTGTGCCGTCGCCAGCACCCACGTCCAAAATTGAGGCGTCGTCTTTCAGGTTCAACTGGTTTAAATAAGTGTGGAGGAAGTGGGTGGCGTCAAATTTTTGTATTTGGCAGTTTTTTGAGTACAGAGCTGGGTCTTCGTTCATTTTTTGTGGTTCTGAGACACCGTGAGAGTATGCATTGCGTTTTATAAACAACTGATAACAATGAAAATACTGACAATGTATTTTCGTGATTGTTTCAAATTGCGTATGTGTTTAACCTGACCCTGATGATCGTGGATAATTTTTAACAAAAACGGAGTGCGGTATATCTTTAGAAGTATAAAAATAACCCAGACGACTATAAACACTTGATTTTTACTTCCCGAGCGTAAGCGAAGAAATGGGTTTACCGTTTCCGTCTGTCTGTCTGCCGTTCCGGATTTTTATTAGATAGATAATCTCCGAAATTTGTCTAATCATCGTCATCAATAATGTGATGACGTCACTTCAAAATTTTACATAGTAAATGGGTTTTAAATTGTATGAAATAGCATAGTCCTATACATGTAGTTTATGACTCCGTGTTGAGTTTTTACCCGAAACGTCCAGATTTTTGGAAAAAAATCGAAATTATAAAACAACATTTTGCAATTTAATTTTGAACCTGCCAAACTGAATGCTTTGAAATCTTGCAGATGTTGTCAATTTATGGTAAGTATAATCATTTTTTTTTTCAAAACATATTCGCTTATCACCTCCAAAAAATTGATGATGTCATCCAAAAATTTTGGCGGATAAATATTATCTAAAATGTGTAAAACATGATCAGTCTATACTTGTGATTTATCACTGCATTCATATTTTTTAGATTTGCTTAAATAGGGCGATTAAAAAAATGATTGAATTGTTAAAAAATAAACATCCTATCAGATTAAGGAATTTAATTCGTTATTATGGAAATTTGGAATTTAACACCTTTTAAATTTAACAAGTTTTTACAGATTTAATGAGGGCAGAATCACTCTTATCTTAGCAAGTGCTAGCCCCGCCCACCCGCCCCCTATTTTTTCAGAGGATATGTCCCTTGCCAAAATAAGTTTTACCTTAGCAAGTACTAACCCTGCGCACCCGCCTTCTATTTTCTCAGAGAGTAGGGCATTTGCCAAAATTAGTCTTATCCCAGCAAGTACTAGCCCCGCCCACCCGCCCTTATTTTCTCAGAGGATATGTCATTTGCCAAAATCAGTCTTATCTTACCAGGTACTAGCGCCTCCCACCCGCCCTCAATTTTTTTAGAGGATGTCATTTGCCAAAATTAGTTTCATCTTAACAAGTACTAGCCCCGCCCACCCGCCCTTTATTTTCTTATGGGATATGTCATTTGCCAAAATCAGTTTTATCTTACCAGCTTCTACCCCCGCCCACCAGCGCACTTCTCCTTGTAACGATTTCATTCTCTTCAGTGTAAGATTCACCTTTGATTCGGACCATATAAAATAAATCACTGAAATGGAGGGGGGGGGGGGGTGGGGGGTGTGGGGGGGGGTTAATCATATGTTCTTTGGTAGAGTGGCAATGAGAAAATCACGAATCGTTTTTGTTATACTAATTGATATTAAATTTGTGCTTATTTCAAAAGAAAAAAATGATAAGAAGGGTGGGTGGGCGGAGCGAAGATTAAATTTTTCCTACAGAGACTTTTATAAGCAAACAATAGCCCCACCCACCCGCCCCTTTCTCCTTCATTCTAGTAACAACTTTTTATATTGCTCTGTCTTATCTTAGCAAATCTCTAACCCCACCCACCCGCCCTACATTTTCTTAGAGTATATGTCTACCAAAATTAGTCTCATCTTAGCAAGTACGAGCCCCGCCCACCCGCCCCTGTTTTCTCAGAGGATATGTCATTTTCCAAAATCAGTCTTATCTTACCAGGTACTAGCCCCGCCCACCCGCCCTCTATTTTTTCAGAAGATATGTCATTTGCCAAAATCAGTTTTATCTGAGCAAGTACTAACCTCGCCCGTCCGCCCCTATGTTTTCAGAGGAAATGTAATTTGCCAAAATAAGACTTATCTTAGCAAGTACTACGCTCTGAGAAAATAAAGGGTGGGTGGGCGGGGCTAGTACTTGCCAGGATAAAAGTGATTTTGGCAAATGAGAGACCCTCTAAGAAAAGAGAGGGAGGGTGGGTGGGCGGGGCTAGTACCTGGTAAGATAAGACTTATTTCGGCAAATGACATATCTTCCGAGAAAATAGGCGGCGGGTGGGCGGGCCTAGTACTTTTTAAGATAAAAAACCCGAAATGTGCAAAATATCATGAGTTTTTTTTACTTGAGAGTTATCACTGCATTCATATTTTTTAGATTTGCTTATACAGGTGACTCAAAAAAATTAATGACTGTATCAATTTATTTTATTAATTAAATCAAGAATGGAACTTAATTAATATCTAATAATTGAAGCAAATTTTTCGGTTGGTAATTCTGAATTATTGGTTAACTTGTCAGTTGAGAGAATAATAAAATAAAAATTTAAATATGTTGCCAACCTGTAAAAAAATCAGAAACATTATCACTCGATTCAAGTAAGATAAATTAAATTTATTTAACTAATTTGGGTTAAACAGAATTTTTTGTTATTACCAGATAATAAAATAACCAAGATCTTCAATTTTATCATTAATAAATTGACGAATTTAATTACGATAATTACCGCTGTTAATGTAATTTGGTATTAATTTGTATATATTCTGTGAATAAAAAAAAATGATGTATAGTTGTTTAAACAGATTCATAAACCACAAGTACAGTAGTATCTTATTTTATAAATCTAAGTAGCATTTACTATGCAAAATTTTGAGGTGAATTCATAAAATTTTTGGTGGGGATAATTAAAAAAATTTCTCGTTAACGTTTTACAAAATATATATCTAACATACATTTAAAATTTGACAACAATCGTAGTTTTAGAGCATATCTCAAATAAAAATCGACATAGACGACAGACGACAGACAGGTGGAAACGGGAGACCTATTTTGCCTTACTCTAGAAATCATGAAACGTCGAGAAAGAACGTTCTGTTTCTTTGACACATTATAAAACTAAAAATGTATGATAATCTCCATACAGGTGTCCCAGATAAGAGGCTGTTGTTTTTAGTTTGAAGGGAAAAGCTAAATTTAGTAGATTGTAAACACATATGGCGTCATATTTACCTTTTTTTTTTTAATGCAAAGAATGTGGGTTTTATCTGGTACACCTGTATATCAAAATAAAATGGGGGTGGATTAATAAACTAATTATTATTAATTTTTACTATCAGAAGAGAAACACTAGACAAACGAATACGGAGTACCTACTTTTTCAACTTCTAGGAGCTATGATATGTTGAGACAAAATGAAATTAGTTCTTTAACCAAAATTTCTTAAGTTTAGTTATAGATGTTGTTGCCATCAAATGTTTTTATTTTTTTTTTTTATAAATTCGTCTTACTATAGACAGAAATTACGCTAGAACTATAGAACTAATACTATTAATGATGATTTTATTTATACAAAAATATACATTACTGCTTTGTTTGGTAAACGTTTTTCGTGTTAATTTTACAGTTTGCGAAAAATCTCGAATTACGAGTTTTTCAAAATTAAAATTTTTACCGAAATACCTGGGTTTTGTAGAGTTAGCCATTTTCTTCTTTTCCGGGTATTATGTCGCGTATGGGCATTAGAATTCTTACATGACATAATACCCAAAATTTGAAGAAATGAATTTTCCACTATTTGAATGGACGAATCACCCTCCTGAAAATATTACTTTCAAACTGATCTACTTGTTATAAATACAGAAACTGGAAAAATTTTATGTAAACAATTACAAGATGTAGACCGTACATATATTTATGATTTCTGAAAAGTTTGTTTAGAACTAAATATTTCTATAACATATATTTTTCATTTTCAAAACACTGACAATTTATTTTCTCAAATTCTTATACAAGAGACTAAAGTGTGCACTGAAAAATTATACTAAAATTCTGCACTGTGGTGATCAAATCAATTTCTTATTGTCATTTGATGTAACAAAGCGAAGTATGACCAAGAAGCTCGGAGAATCTATAACAAAAAAATTGTTAACTTATATTAGATCTAATTAACAACATTGGTAAATTTTGAACAATGAGTAGGAAGCGGCAAAATAATTACCGGTGTAGTAAGAAATTAGGCATTAGTATGCGGCACTTGCTGACTTACCGTCATGAATGTTTGCAGTGTTAAATTAAAATAATTTAGAGCAGATACTTGTATGGGTGTTTGGCACTTTAAAAGAAAGAAAATTATGCTTTTTTTCGCGTTTAACGACGCAGTGGTCCACTCGGATTCGAAAAGCGCATATCCAATTTTTTTGCTCTAGAAAAAAAAGCTAATTAACGTAGACACTTTGCCTTACAGATTTACTTTCTCTTGGACTTCATTACCGAACCAACAGTACATAAAAATTTCGACGATGATTGCCAATTCGAACGACATTATGGACAAAAATTCACTACTTAAAGGAACCACCTGGTAAATAAAAATATAAGTGAAACTCAGTCAAAGTTCTAGGTTAACATTTCAACACTTACCACAGTCATCTGGAACATTGTGATTCCAATAGAAGTCGCACTAATAAAGAACTGAAAAAATACAATCCAGTTGAAAAATTTATTCGAGTCGTCGCAGAATCTGCAAATTATTCGTGTTATTCTAAACCTACAAATCCCACAGTGTTTACCTCAAAATTTCTTTGTGATGTCTCACACACTTCATAAAATTTTTGTTAAAATCTGCTAAACCAAGATGCCTCAAGTCATCGCACAAAATATCCAATTGGGCCCCTGTGTACATGTTCAAAGCAGCAATTAAAGTGTCAACACCTAAAGTCGACGTGGCTACAAAAAGAATGCCGATTACTTGATGCATGTAGGCGATTTCATAGTTCGGAGACGTCCGAGTGTCGAAAGGATACCAAGCCATAAATGGCAGCCTGTAGTCTTTAACCGAATTATCCAGAATCGGGAACGTTATCCAGAAAAAAATCGCTCCACCGCTCATCCCCCAATACAGGATATAATTATACCTCCAAATTTTTAAATTGGGTTCTATGAGTTGCCGCTGTCTGACATTCTTCGGTTGAAACAAATCGCTGTTAAGAGTGACCATAAGTTTCTTCAACAACCCCATATTTTGAAAGACGTGGTAACCCTTCAGCATTCCAAGTAGTTCAGACAAATTTAAGTAGATTGTCGCTGTGACAGCCTGTAGGTCATCCATGTGAAAAATTATATTAACTACTTGGAAGAAGTTGTGTGCAAATATGATGCAAGTGAAGGATACGGCTGCCCATAGTGTGTACACGTTGAACTCGTACGTTTTGTCACCTTTTGGCCAGAGACCCACCACCTTCAGTTTCAGAATGTTGATTTTGATAGTGGCTTTCCAGTCAAATTTTTCCATGACTGAACGCACTGGGAGGTTTTGCTTCTAACGTAATGTTTTAGAGCTTTTATAGACTTTTAAGCTGCGGATAACCAATCAACAATGAGGCTGGAGTTATTAATAATTGAGCTTGAAGAATAGCGTGTATATCTAATTAGAGTTCAGTGAAAAATTCTTTCGAAATATGGAAAACAAAACGTTTTTAACCCCTCTAATTATACCTTTTGTTAATTACATTGTATCAACCTCGTTATTATAATTTTCTTAAAGGTAAGTATTGTGGGAGGAGTTCTTTGTCTATGCGGTTTCCTTATGGTTTATTAATTGATATTTGGGTACTATTATTTTGATAATCTGGTGGACAGGAAGGTTTACACGTGGATTATTAACAGTGGAAAGTAAATGAGGATGATTAAATAATGAGCGTAATTTGATTTTTCAGGCGTGGTGTTAAACTAAACGCTGGTTTAGTAGTATTTCTGACTAAGAAGTGTATAGATGAATATGGTGTATTGGGTAAGTAAGTATTTACTTACAATTTGTGTTTAAGAATAAATAATAGAATCCACACATTTGTTTTTAAAGATTACACGTAACCTTATTATATTTTACTAATTTTTTTTGTAATAAAATCTTTGCTGAAATAATTATGGCGGTTAGGTAGGTTTGAAAATTAATTAAATTAATTTTTTGAATTCTTTTGTTGGAAAAAATAATAATTCATGAAAAATCATTGTCAGTTTTAATTTAATTATTTATTATTTTATGTAACACTGTACTAGAATTCTGATAAAATTTTTGTCGTTTTGGAATGATTATAATTTTTAAATTTAATAATTTACATGTTTAGTCACCATTGTTTCGTAGTAGATATACAGGGTGATTCAGAGCACTGCTGCATTATTTCAAAGGGTGAATTATATGGTAAACAATTATTTTAGTAATATACTGTAGATGGTAAAACATCAAGTACTTTTGTAGTTTTGGTTTATGAATCCGCTTTGATTTTCTACCGTAGCTTTCGAGATTATCGAAAATTCGATCCTCCCATAAGCCATTTTTTTCTTGCAGTGTGACGGTTGTTATTTTCTTTCTTTCTAAAAAACTGGATTTGCTTGATTGTACTTAAAGGGTGAAACTACTGGACTGATTGTCGTCTAGTCGTCCTCTTCAAAAATTTGATGACGTCATTTTAAACTATTAAAGAATAATTCCTATTTCAAATATGAAAAATGATACATTCCTGTACCTGTGATTTATTAATCTACCTGTAATTTTATCTCTTTTATTTCTGATTTAACAATGTCTCCATATTTTTTTGAATTGTTGATGCATGTTGACTCAAAAAAAATAGTTTACCTAATTTTCCCCAAATTTTGGGTACATAATTCTATTGTCGTTAGTGTTGTACTGTACATATTTGTCGTTTTGTTTGTCTTTTTTTTTATGTTTTTATTGTTTTTTATGAGATTTTTTATGGCTTTTTTGTCTTTTTTCCCCAAATTTTTATTGTTTTGTGGCCTTTTAACCTCCCGAGCCTAAGCTAAGAAAGTAAAATCGAGCCGATTGGACGAATTGCCACTTTTATGTTTTCTCGACGTTTCATGACCTCTACAGTACGAAAAAAGTAGTCCCCGGGTTCCGTCTGTCTGTCTGTCTGTCTGGTGTCTGAATCCATTTGGATAATTGTCCTCACCAACAATTTGATGACGTCATCTCAATAAACCGTATTTTAAAATGATTTTTGAATGTTATACAAAAATATACTGCTATACTTGTAGTGTACGAATCCGTTTTCAGTTTCTTATCTAAACGTTCATAAGTTTTTAGAAAATTTTTGAAAATTTTGATTGAATTTACTTTTCGTTTCTATTTGAACAGATATCGTGACAGCGGTTTCAGATTTGTAACTGATGGAAGGTTATCTACAATTTGACATCGATTTTAGTCCGTTTTAATCATATTTTTGGAAAATTTCTGAAAATTTTGAATTCACATTTCGTGTTTGTTAGAACAGATATCGGTACGGCGATTTCAGACTTATAATTAGCGGAGGAATATCTACTACTATTCGACACCAATTTTCGGTCGATTGAACCGGGAATTTTAACCATTCTTTGGAAAATTTTTGAAATTTTGAATTCAATTTTCGTGTTTATTTGAGCAGAAATCGTGACGGCATTTCCAGATTCGTAACTGGCGGAGGATTAGCCACAATTTAACATCAATTCTCGGTTGATTGGACCAATTTTAACCATTTTTTGGTAAGTTTTTGAAAATTTTGGAATTATATTTTGCTTTTATTGCAATAGAGGTCGTGAAGGTGATTTCGGATTTGTAACTGGAGGAAAATTATCCACAATTTGACACCAATTTTCAGTCGATTGAACCAATTTTAACCAATTTTTGGAAAATTTTTGAAAAATCGAAAAACTAAAGAATGATAAATCGAAAAATTGAAAACTCGACAAACTGAAGTAAAGAAAATAGCAAAATCGAAAACTTGAAAATGGAAGAAGTGAAGAAAGGAAGAATTGAGACACTGAAAAACTAAAAATCGAGAAAGTTAAAAATCGAAAAAAAATCATGAATCAAAAAATTAGAAAGAACAAAAAATGAACCTAATCGAAAAACTGGAAAATCCAAAAATTGTAAAATCGGAATATTTTGGGATCTTCGAAGTCGTAATATCGAAAAACAACATTGAAACTTCGAAAATTTGAAAAATGAAATGTCGAGAAATTGAAAAATTAACTTGAATAAATGAAGTAGTTTTAAAATCCAATAATTGAAAAATGGAAAAATTTTAATTATTATTACATATTTAAAGCTAAAACTAGAAAAATTACAATTAAAAATTAAAGACATGAAAAATCGAGATACTGAGAAATCTAAAATTGAAAAAACCAAAAATTAGAGAATCTAAAAGTTGAAAAACCGAAAAATCGCAAATCGAAAAATTTCACACTGAAAAAAAAGAAAAATTAAAAATCAAAACATTGAAAAACTGATAATTCAAATAGACAAAGAAAATAAAAAACTGAAACTCAAGATTCAAATAGAAAATTCAATTCGGAACACTGGAAAATCCAAAAATGTAAAAATAATGAAAATAAACTGAAACGAACAATTGCAAATAGAAAATTTGAAGAATTAAAAAATTGCAGATTCGAAAAATTGAAAAATTAAAAACTAGAGAAATTTTAAGTAGAGAAATTCAAAAATATAAACTTGAAAATTCAAAAATTGCAAATCGAGAAACTCGAGAAACAAAAAAATTATAAGAATTGAAGAATTGAAAAGTCCAAAAACTCTGCAGCAGTGTTATTACGCCACTGGTTTTAGCTTTATAGACGTTATTAAAAACAAAAATTGCAAATTTTTTTAACCATTTTTTTTTTAAATTATTGAAAATTTTGAATGCACTTTTTGTGTTTGTTGGAACAGATATCGTGATTTTAGACTTAGACTTAGAATTAGCGGAGGATTATCTACAATTTGACACCAATTTTCGGTCGATTGAAGCACTTTTAGCCATTTTTTTGGAAATTTTTAGATAAGTTTGACTTCAATTTTCTTATTTGTTGGAGTAGATATTCTGACGGCGATTTCAACTGGCGGAAGATTAACTAGAATTTGGCATCAATTTTCGCTCGATTGAACCGGGGATTTTAACCATTTTTTTTTGAAAAGTTTTTGAAATTTTGAATTCGCTTTTCGTGTTTATTGGAGGAGATATCGTGACTGGGTTTCCAGATTCGTAACTGGCGGAAGACTATTTATAATCTGACATCAATTCTCGGTCGATTGAACCAATTTTCACTAATTTTTGGGAAACTTTTGAAAAATCGAAAAATGAAGAATTGAAAAATCGAAAAATTACAAATCGACAAACTGAACGATCGGAAAAAATTGGAATATCGAAAAACTGAAGAAAAGAAAAATAGCAAAATCGAAAAATTGAAAATGGAAGAACTGAAGAAACGAAAAATTGTAACACTGAAAAACTAAAAATGGAGAAAGTTAAAAATTAATGAATCAAAAAATTAGAAAGAACAAAAAAAACCGAATCGAAAAATTGGAACATCAAAAAATTGTAAAATCGGAAAATTATGGAATCTTCAAAGTCGTAATGTTGAAAAACAACATTGAAACATCAAAAATTTGAAAAATGAAATGTCGAGAAATTGAAAAATTAACTTGAATAAATGAACAAGTTTTAAAATCCAATAATTGAAAAATGGATGAATTCCAAAATCGCTAAATTGAAAAATTGAAAAATTGTAATTATTATTAGTACATATTGTACAATCCAAACAAATCACAAAAACGTCTGAATTTTTAATTCTAAATGTTTCAACTGAAATTCCGTCACAAAACTTTTGAAAATTTCGGCATAATTTGGAGAAAGTTGAAAATATTTTGGACCAGAAAAGCAGAAATAACACTCTAAAAATTTAAACATAAACGTCACAAAAATGCTAAATTCTGACAGTTGAAAAAAGTTGAAAATATTTTGCATCAGAAAGGCTGAAACAGTCTAAAAAAATTAACAAAAAATCTCACAGATCTCAAAAATTAGTTTGTGAACAAAATGTAATTATTTTAACTGAAACCTGTAGTACTTGCTAAGATAAGTCTTATTTTGGCAAATGACATATCCTATGAGAAAATAGGGGCGGGTGGGCGGGGCTAATAGTTGGTCAGATAAGACTGATTTTGGCAAACGCCATACCCTTTGAGAAAATAGAGGGTGGGTGGGCGGGGATAGTACCTACTTGCTTACTGATTGTGGTAAAAAAAATATATAAAAATTAAAGAAATGAAAAATCCAGAAACTGACAAATCTAAAATTGAAAAAACGAAAAATTAAAAAATCTAAAAGTTGAAAAACCAAAAAATTGAAAAATCTCACACTGAAAAAAGAAAAATTAAAAATCAAAACATCGAAAAACTAAAAATTTAAATACACAAAGAAAATAAAAAACTGAAACGAAAGATTCAAATTATAAAATCGGAACATCACTTTCTCTGGTCACTTTTTTACTGCTTTTTTGTTTGTCTTTGGAGCCTTTTTTCGTCATTTCGACGTTTCATACTCCTTAGAGTGTGAAAAAGTAGATCTCCCGTTTTCATATGCCAGTCGTCTGCCTGTGTCGAGATTCTTTATACAAATTATCTCCAAAACTACTACACCGATTGTTGTTAAATTTTATGTATACTTTAGAAATATCGCGTAGGTGGTAAACCATTAATCACAATTTGTGCAATGATCTCCACAAACAAATTGATGACGTCACTTCAATTTTTCTTGTAGTAAATAGTATTTAAGTTCTATAAAATAACATATTCCTATGAATTATCTATGAATTAGCCTTGATTTTTTGCTCTAGTATTTACTGGTATATGTACCAGTATAAGGTGAATGTAGTTCAGGTGGAGAAGTGCTTGACTGTACTTAAAGGTAGTGGAAAGTTCTTCCCATTTTTTTAACACAAATATTGAACACTTGCTTGAATATATATTTGGTGGATGCGCCGGGTTAAGAAATAATAAGTCTCCAAGGAGTGAGAACCCTCCACTGTATATATATTATATTAAAAAAAAATAGAAAGACGTATAATTAATTAATTGAATAAATTTTATTTTTTGTTAATATTTCATGTGCGTAAAGTTACAAATAGGCCATTTTATTTACTTCATTTTACATAACAATTTATTTTTCTTATATACTTGATGAACTGTTTCCGCCGGTCTTGTTGAGTGCAATTATTTCGCGGTGGAGAAGGAGGTGTATTTCGGAAGAGAACACACATTTTTTTTTCTATAGTTTGTCATATTAAATTGATGGATATGGATATGTCACCAAAGTGTATCAATTTAGTTTGTACCTTAGGCAAGAAAATTCATTTTTGTCCACTCAACAAGACACCAATGAGAGAAAAAACGAAGTATTTGCAATTTTATTAATCCATATATTTATTTTTCAAATAATTTTTACCATATATTCTTTTATCGTTGATTAACTTGATTCAAAAGAGCAAAGTATGACCAAGAAGCTCGAAGTATCTGTAATCAAGAACTTCACAATTACAAACTTAGTTAAATTTTACAAACTTACAGACACAAAAGTATCCAGAGAAAGATAGAACAACTTCAAAGCGGACATTTGTACCGGTTTTTGACATCTGGCAACAAAAAATTGCATATTCTTTTGTGCAACTAAGGGTGCATCAATCCACTGTGATTGAAACAAAGCGTAGGGAACTTTGCTGCTCTGCAAGAAAAAAATTAATTTATATCACCATTGCACAGAAAAGTTTTACTTTAATCGTCACTTCATTCCCGTACCAGCAGAACATGAAAATTTCGGTCGTTATTGACGACAAGAAGGATATTTGTGAAAAAAATTCACTACTTAAGGGAGTAACCTAAAATGGGGAATATATAAAAAAATACAAAAAAAGTCAAAAATTTTACCATCGTCAACTGAAACATGGTCATGCCAATAGAAACCGCACTAATAAAGAACTGCTGCAGGATTATCCAATTCGAAAACGTGTTAGTATTTTCAGCAAATCTACAACAAAATAGTACAAAACAATAAAAATTATTTTTATTTTTATCAAATCTTTATTACCTTACTATCTCTTTGTGATGCTTCACACACTCTATTAATTTTCGATCGAAATCACCGGAATCATCGTGTAAATGTTGCACATTATCCGACAAAATGTCAAACTGTGCCCCAATACACACATGTAAAGCCGCAATCAAACAATCCACACACAAAGCAGTGGCTGCACTGCAAGTAACCCCAAAAATCTGATACAAATAAGTAATCTCAAAAGCTGGAGACACTGTAGTATCGAAAGGGTACCAAGCCATGAAGGGCAGCTGATGTTCTTTACCAGACTTATCCAAAATGGGATAAAACGATAAGAAAAAAACAGCCCCTAGGGTCACACTCCAGTACAAAATGTAGTTGGTTTTCCAAAATTTTATACTCGGTTGGACCATTTTGACTTGTTTGGCGTTTCTCGGTTGAAACAAATCACTGTTGAGAGTCACCATCAGTCCTTTGAGAATCCTCATGTTCTGTACGACGTAGTAGGCTTTAATGATTGACAGGAACTCCGACAACATCACAAATATGTTTGAAATGACAGCTTCTAAATCGTCCGAGATGAAATATATGTTGGCTGTTTGGAATATGTTGGGTCCGAGATTGAAAACGAGGAGGCAAATTGTGGCCCATACTGTGTATAGGTTGACTTTGTAGGTGTCGTCTCCGTCGGGCCACAGACCTAAAATTCGTAGTTTGAATATGTTAGCTTTGATGGGTTTCTTCCAGTCGAATTTTTTGTCCATGCTGGTGGTACATTGACTGTTTGTTTAAGCCGGCGTTGACTATATAGTTGGGGGTGTTTAATAATTTATCACGGTTGTAATTCGATTAGAAACTACTATTATAATTAGAATTTGGAAGAGTTGTAATTAAATTTCTCCATCATTGATTGTTGTAATAACTACCCAAAATCGTGGGAATTGTGGCAGATGAAGACGAAAGTGCTTATTATCCTGTTTTTCGTTAATGTTTTTACAAGAAAAATACTGCTGTGATGGGGATTAATTAGTTATGGGAATTGTTTAGGGTATCTAATTAACTTAGCTACAATTATATATTATTGAATCAACTTCGAACGAATTTTTTCTGAGATATATTTAGATTAAAAATTTGTTTTACAGTACGTAGGGGGTTGGTGTTAATGAATTTTACGTATTTTTTTGTGATTAATCGGTGACTATTTTTTGGTTACATGTTTCAATTTTAATAGCAAAGTTAAGAGTGGCAGTATTGCGAAACTTAAAAAAATATTTTAGTGAGATTTGTGAAAATGTTTCCATAAATATATGAAGGTATTTAGACAGAACTTTCTTTTATTTTTTATTTAAGTTTATATTATATTTTACTAGTTATTTCTCTCTTATATATACTTGTGTGAGTCTTTGTGTTTAATAATTTTTCTCCTAAATATTTTTCTATGTCTGTATTATTCATCTTTTCCTTTACCGAATTTTTTGTTTTTGCAGTTCCTCAAAACTCATTTTTATTTTTTTGTTGCATCTTCTTTTGTCCGTTCTTTCGTTTTTATATTCTTCGTTGATTATGCCCTTTAGTTTGTCTTGTGTTATAATTAATCATTTCTTTGATCTACATCTGAACAGAGTAGTTTCCTCTATTTCTCTCTATTTTTGTTCTACTCTTCTTTTCCTTTCCATCAATGACAATTTTTTGGTACTTAATTCTGACTTCTTCCCTTATTCTTTTCTTGTGTCGCTACTAGTCTTATTTGTTGTTGTATATCTAATTTTTCTTTTTTAATTCATTTTTTATATAGACGGTGATCAAAAAATAATGGCTAAATTCGATGGTACGTTAAGATGTCAAAAAAATGGTTAATAAAAATTCCTGAACTAAATTTTTGAAAATATTAAACTTCGAAATTGAAGAATCAACTTCGTAATTCTGATATGTTCAAATGTGAATTTAATTGACAATCTAAAATTCCGAAAAAAATGTCATTTTTGACTTTTTTTTTGAACAGTAAGTAGAGTAGTGACTCAAAATAATTAACGGATGCTTCAATTTATTTTATTGGTTTAATTATGAACATTGCTCTTCCCCCCTAAAAAATTTATCACTTCAAAATTTTCCTGAATAAATCCTATTTTAAATGCGCAAAATACGATTAGTCTTTACTTGTAATTTATCATTGCGTTCATATTTTTTAGATTTTCTTATACGTTCCATTTTTCTTCTTTCGAAGTGCTTCTGTTTTCTTTGATTTTATATTTATAATTTTTTTATATTTTTCTCTATATTTTGTCTCTTTAAGTTTATTATTTGTCATCTGTTTCATTGTAAGTATGACTTCTTTTTCTATTTTTTCTTTCTTTAAGTTCGTCTTATCTATTTTTATTAAATTACTTTTATTTCTTTCGTCTACTTGTAGGGTTTTTGTGTTTGAATTTCGTGTTACTTATTAGTAATTACTAAATAATTTTCAACACAGATTCAATAACTTTTCTTCATTATTGTTCTTCGTTTCTTCTTGTTTTCTTCCTTAATATTTTTCTCTGCCGTTTAAAATTCACCTTATTATTATTTTTATTTTTTATTGCATTTTCGTTTTCTCCATAAGTTAATTTCATTGTCCATTCTTTTATATATATTCTTCGTTAGTTATGTCCTTTAGTTTGTCTGGTGTTATTATTAGTCCTATCCTATTTCTTTCGCTCCTTTTTACATTTAATGTGTTTAGTTTATTCGCTCTTTGTTTTGTAATATATTACTATTCTTTTTCTTCTTATGTGTTTTATTTATTTTCTTGCCCACATCCATTTTCTCTGTTCCTTTTTGCTCAATTATGGCTTTCTTCTTCAATTTTTAATTTTTTGTTGTTTTTCGTTCGTGGTGTTTTTTCTTTCATAGTAGGTATTTTTTTAAATTTATTTCAACAAAATTTCAGTTTTTTTTGGATGAAAATACGTTTTTTAGCGCAATGTTTCGGAAGTGGCCAGTTTCATCATCAGAGTTTATTCATTTATATCAAATTCATTTCCCTAGTCTTGACATGACTGACATTTGTGTCACTACTTATATTTTTATTTAAGCGTTCATGGTTTTGAATTTTATTGTCGTCCATAATTATTTATTGAACTTCCTTGTTCAAGATTTCGAAATATTTTTTTTGCTTGAAGTAGAAAAAAAGTTAAATAACAAAATTGTGCGGTTTTTTAAAGACCATATAACAAAATTATTTTCAACTATACAGACTGTTCTGTTTTTAAGATGTAACAGCAACTTAGTTTTTTCAAATTACATAGCTATGCACTTTTTTTGATATCCTGATTGAGCTCTTATTAGTCTTTATAAGAGCGTTTGTTTTTGGAACTCCGGCGCGACATTGCTAGATTATTCTAATTTTCCTGAAATGATTTACAAAAAAAAATGGCAATGATATAACGAGGATGGATTCGAACTCACGCTAATATTGTATAAATATTTTTGTAAAGTAATCGTGATTAAAACTTAATACGGATTTATAAACCACAAGTGTAGGAGTATATAAATTTTACAAAATTTAAATAATGTTTAATGTACAAATTTTGAGGGGATGCTATCACATTGTTGGTGGGGATAATTAGACACATTTTGGTTAGTGTTTTACCATCTATACAATCGGAATATAATACAGATAAAATTTGTCAAGAATTTCACAGTTTGGAGATTATTATTTGTCTAAGAAAAATCGACACAGACGAAATTTTGGAAAATTGAAAAGTCGAAATCCGAAAAGGCGAAAAATCGAAAGATCAAGCAATCGAAATATCAAAAAATCGAAGAATTAAAATATCGAGAAATTGAAAAAACCAGAAATTGGAAAATCGAGGAATCTATAAATCGAAAAGTCGAAAATTTTAAAACTCGGAAAGCCAAGATGTGAATAAATCGAAAAATGTAAAATTTAAAAAATCTAAAAATTTAAAAATAAAATATGGAAGAACCGTAAAATGGAGAAATAAAAAAATCTGAAATTTAAAATAGTGAAAATTTCAAAAATCTAAAATTTAAAAATCGAAAAATTGAAAAATTGAGAATTAAAACACCAAAATTTAAAACTCAAAATATCGGATAATTGAAAAATCGATACATCGAAAATTGAACAATTAAAAAGTCGAAAAGCTGAAAAGTAAAAATCGAAAAACCGAGAAATCGAAAAATTCAAAAATGAAACACACTGAGAAATCGAAAAATCATAAGAAAAAGTAAAAATCGAGAAGCTGAAAAATAGAAATATGGAAGAAATTCTAAAATTGAGAAACTGAAATAGGCTAAAATCGAAAAATCGAAAAGTTAAAAATTGAAAAATTAAAAAAATTAAAATTAAAAAATCGAAAAATTGAAACATAAAAATATGGAAGTGAAAAATCGAAAAATCCAGAAATCGCAAAATTGAAAAATCGGGAAATCGAGAAATCACTAAATCGAAAAATCGAAAAATCTAAAATTTAAAACATTGAGAAAATGAAATAACGAAAAACCGAGAAATTGAAACTCCAAAATTTACAACATTGAAAAATTGAAAAATCGGACAATTGAAAAATCGGACAATTGAAAAATCGAACAATTGAAAAATAGAAACATTCAATAATGGAAAAACCGAAAAGTAAAAAATCGAAAAACCGAGAAATCGAAACATCGAAAAATTCAAATCCTGAAAAATAAAAATATTGAGAAATCGAGAAATCGAAAAGTAAAAAAATTAAAAAAAAAATCGAAAAATTGAAACATAAAAATATGGAAGTGAAAAATCGAAAAATCGAGAAATCACTAAATCGAGAAATCGAAAAATCTAAAATTTAAAACATTGAGAAAATGAAATAGCGAAAAATCGGGAAATTGAAACTCCAAAATTTACAAAATTGAAACATTGAAAAGTCGGACAATTGAAAAATAGAAACATTCAATAACTGATAGATCAAGAAATCGAGAAATCGAAAATTTGAGAAGTCGAAATGGGCCAAAATCGAAAAATTGAAACATTTAAAATTTAAAAAACCGCCTATTCGAAATATCGAAAAATTGAAAAATCGAGAAACTGAGCAATCAAACATTGAAACATCGAAATTTCGATAAATCGAGACATCAAAAAACCGTGAAATTGCAAGTCGAAAAATTGCAAAATCTAAAAATTGAAACATCCAAAAATTTAAGAATTTTAATGGTTATAGAAAAAATTGGTCGAAGGTTATTTAGACAGGACTTTCCTCACCCCTGCAATACAATAAATCATCTTCAGCTTTTTTAAAAAAATACAAAATTTGGTTTTGTGAAATGAAAAATTGAAAAAATAAAAAATTACAAAATTGGAACATTGAAAAATAGAAAAATTGCAAGAACAAAGAAAATATAAAACCGAAACAAAAAATTGCGAATCGGAACATTGAAAAATTGAAAAATTGAAACATTTAAAACTGAAAACTCGTGAAATTGCAAATCGAAAAATAACAAAATTTAAAAATTGAAACATCCAAAAACTGAAAATTTAAAAATGGAAACTCGAAGAGATATTGTAAAATTGAAGAAACAAATTATGAAAAATTGAAAAATTGCCAATCGAAAACTTGAAAAAATTGAAACTGAAAAAACAAGAAATTACAAAATCGAAACATTGAAAAATGGAAACATCGAAAAACTGAAGAAAGGAAACATTGCAAGAGCGAAAAATTAAAAAATTGAAAATTGAAAATTCGTGAAATTGCAAATCGAAGAATTTTAACATATAAAAATGTATTTATTTATAATAAAAATCAAAAAAAATTTAAACATAGAAAAATCGAAAGATCAAGCAATCGAAATATCAAAAAATCCAAGAATTAAAATATCGAGAAATTGAAAAAACCAGAAATTGGAAAATCGAGGAATCTATGAATCGAAAAGTCGAAAAATTTTAAAACTCGGAAAACCAAGATGTCAAGAAATCGAAATATTAAAAAATCGTAAAATCGAAAAATTAAAAAATTAAAAAATGTAAAATTTAAAAAAATCGAAAAATTGAAAACTAGAAATATCAAAGAACTGAAAAATCGAGAAATCGAAAAATCTAAAATTTAAAATATTGAAAAATTAAAATATACAAAAGTTGAAAAATCGCGATCAAAACAGCAGAAATCGAAAAAATGAAAAATTTAAAAATCTAAAATTTAAAAATCAGCAAATCGAAAAATCGAAGAATTCTAAAACTGATACATGGAGAAATCGAGAAATCAAAAATTTGAGATGTCAAATAGGCCAAAATCGAAAAATTAATTAATCGACTAATCGAAATATATCGAAAAATTGAAAAATCGAAAAACTGAACAATCAAACCATGGAAACATCCAAATCTCGATAAATCGAGAAATCAAAAAATTGAAAAATTAAAAATTAAAACCCCCGAAATTGCAAATCGGAAAATTGCAAAATCTAAAAATTGAAACATTCAAAAATTTAAGAATTTTAATGATTATTTATAGAAAAAAATTGGTCGAAGGTTATTTCGACAGCACTTTCCTCACCCGTGCAATACAATAAATCATCTTCAGCTTTTTTGAAAAATTACAAATTTTCGTTTTGTGAAATGAAAAATTGAAAAAAAAAAATATAAAATTGGAATATTGAAAAATAGAAAAATTGTAAGAACAAAGAAAATAAAAAACCGAAACAAAAAATTGCAAACCGGGAAATTGAAGAATTGAAAAAAGAAAAACTGAAAAATTTAAAACTGAAAACTCCTGAAATTACAAATCGAAAAATAACAAAATTTATAAATTGAAACATCCAAAAACTGAAAAATTTATAAAAATGGAATAATGTGATAACGTTACATTGAAGACATAAAAGCTCGGAAGAGATTAATGAGATTATTTGAAAATATATACGATGTTCTATAAAAAAAAATCTATGTACTAAAAGCTAAACAGACTGTAGGTCCAGACTAAAACAATATAGTCCACGACTTTTTTTTTATCTTTAATAATAATTAACGAGATTTCGAGAACTGCGCTCCTAGAGACTCGCCCTGTATATTTATTTTTCCAGGCAAGTAAAAACATGTACAGGGTGAGTTGGGTAAAAGGGGACAGCTCGAATAACTTTTTTATTTATGAACCTATGTTAATGGAATTTAGTTTATAAATAAAGCTTCATTAACATGAAATAATTAATAGAAAGCAAAATAATAATGAAAATAAAATTGTTTCTATTTACATGAATTTTTATTTTACCATAAAATTGAGAAAAAAAATACTTTGCAAATTTTAATTTTAGTACTTGCTAAGATAAGACTGATTTTGGCAAATCACCTACTCTCTGAAAAAGTAAAGGGCGGGTGGGCGGGGCTAGTACTTGCTAAGATAAGACTGATTTTGCCAAAGACTGAAACCAGGTATGATATCAGGTTTTGATCAGATCTCAAGCTTCATAATTAGGGATTGCAAATTCCAAATTGTTAAGCCACTCCTATTAATATATTTAATACTGTATCTAAAGTTGAAAATTGCAGATCGATTAATTTTTCTAAAATTTTCGAATTAATTCTACATTCTTATATCCATCCTGTAGTGAAAAGTTATATATCAGAAACTCAGAATGGTTTTTAAATTGTAGATCAACAATGACAAACCATTAGCAAACAAAATATTTAGCTAAATCGGTCTTATCTTAGCAAGTATTAACCCCACCCACCCGCCCTTTATTTTCATCGGGCGTATGTCTCTGTTTCTTGGGTCAATTTGTGTTCTTTCGTCATTCACTTTCCAATAGATATCTTTTTTTTCCCATGCCTATTTCTTTCTATCTATGATAATTTTTTGGTACCTAATTTTGACTTCCTTTATTATTTTTTGTGTCGATATCTGTGAACTAAATTTTTTATAATATTAATCTTCAAAATTGAAGATTTAACTACTCATATGTTCAAATGTGAATTTAATTGACAGCCTAAAATTCCAAAAAATGGTCAAAAATGACTTCTGTCATCAATAAAAAATGACGTTGTAGATCGTATTCTAGCAAATTATTATTATTAAAATATTAATAACTAATTATTTAACAGTCTATTAGACATGCAGTTAATTAAAACAAATTAGACTTACTAAGTTAAATCTTCAAATTTAATATTTCCAAAAGTTTGGTAGAAGGGATTTTTTTACCATTTTTTTTAGTTCTTCATAGTCTTTCATTTTTTGGTCAACCTATATAGCTTTTTTCCTTTTTTTTTAGTTTATTTTTTTACCAAAATCTTGCGTCTGTTTTGTATATTTTCTAGTTCAATTTTGCCCGTTTTCATTCCTCAATGTCCTAATTTCCTCTTAATATCTTTTTGGCTTTGTTTTATTTCTCTTACATTCATTACCAATTTCATCAACATTTTTTCCGACTTATCCATTTTTTCATTCTTTCTTTTTCTTATCTTGATCGGAGGTTTCCATTAAGCCTTTACTTCTTTTGAATGTTCAATTTCTCTTTTTTACTTCCCGAGCGTAATTGAGTCCACCGGCCGACTCTCTACTTTTACGTTTTTTCGACTTTTCGTGACCCATATAGTAGGAAAAAATAGGTCTTCCTTTTACGTCTGTCTGTTTGTCCGTCTGTCTGTGCGTCTCTTTGTCCGACTGTCCGTCTGTGCGTCTGTCCGTCTGTCCGGCTGTGCGTCTGTCCGTCTGTCTGTCAAATCAAAATTATTAAACAAGATTGTGCAATTTAATTTTGAATATGCAAAACTGAAAATTTTTAATCAATATTTGATTGATGATGCCAGCTCCAAATTTTGCAGAATAAATCCTATTTAAAATATATATGATAAGTCTATACTTTTGATTTACCCTGTACTCAAAAAAAATTAACGGATCAGTCAATTTATTTGATGTTCGACTGCTCGATCTTTAGATTTTTTTCACTTCGGATTTTGATGTTTAGGTTTTTTGATTTTTCGATTTTTAAAATTTTGATTTTTTTTATTTTCGGATTTAAAATTTTTCGATTTTCCAGTTTCTCGGCTTTTCAAGTTTTCAGTTTTTCGGTTTCTCGATTTATCGAGATTTCCGTGTTTCGATCCTTCAATTTTTCGATTTATCTTTTTTTTAAGTTTAAATTTTTCACTTTTGAATTTTTCGATTTTGGGCTATATGACTTCCCAATTTTTTGATTTTTCGATCTTTTGATGTTTCAATTTTTCAATTTCGGGTTCTCGATTTGTGGGTTTTTCGGCTTCTCGATTTTGAGATTTTATAATTTTTCGACATTTCCGTTTGCGGATTTTTCGGTTCCCGGATTTAATAGTTTCTGGATTCTTCGTCATCGCAATTTTTAGTTTTTTGTTTTTCAAATTTTCTCTTCCTTTTTGTCTATTTTTCGATTTTGCAATTTTTTGATGTTTCGATTTTCCGATTTTAATTTGTTTAATACGAATTTCATTGTTTCGATTTTCGGTTTCGACATCTCGATTTTTCAAGTTTTCGATTTCTCAATTTTTCAATATTTCAATTTCTGGATTTTTCGAAATTTTAAATTTTGAATTTATTCACATTTGGCCTGCTCTAACTTTCGATTTTTCGACTGTTCGGTTTTCGATTTTTTGGTTTTTCAATTTTCCGCTTTTTAAAATTTTTTCATTTCATGATTTCTAGACTATTTTTTATAGAGGTTAGCAAACAATTTTACGATTTTTCAAAGAAGCGGAATTTGTTGGCCGAGGGACGTTCTGTCGACATAACTTTCGTTCAATTTTTTCTTATAAAACATATTTTCGTCGTTGCGACAAGAACTAATTCTCAGCTTCCATATTCATTCATCGAGAGATGTGTCAAAACAGGATTTTTACTCAATGATTCTTCGCTTCTTTATCTATGACACATTTTTACTACTCATTATGTTATTAAGTATACTATAATAAAAAAAAAAATCAGGAAACCACAAGTCGATTCTGTGCCACTAAAGTTTATTGAGTGTGCAACATACAATAATTTTATTTATTTTTTTTTTTTTAAAACTTCTGACAGTCCATGACGATTCCTGAAATCTCCTATCTTGAACTAACTTGATGCAATAGAGCAAAATAAGACCACGCAGTTCTCATAATCTACAATCACCACATTTTATTACATTTTCATTCGTATTCTTTACACATTTATCTCACCCTCATAAATGTATCCAAAGACAAATAAAACAAATTTAGTGCAGACATCTTCATCGGTCTGCGACACCTCATTACGAAAAAAATCATGTTTCTTTTGACTTCTAAAGACGTGTTGAGCCAATTAGATTTGAAAATTGAGTCCACAATATTTACGCTCTGCTAGAAAAAAATTACTAAACGAATTCCAAAGATTTGTGTTTTACCTTGAGTTCTATTTCGTTACCAAACCAACAATACATGAAAATTTCCACACACATAGCGAACGTGAAAGATAGACAAGAGAAGAATTCGCCACTGAGTGGAACTGTCTGAAAAAAATCACAATAGCTGGTTTTTAATCCACACAGAAGTTTTTCAAAAATAGTAAACTTACCACAGTCATTTGAAACAGAGTTATGCCAATCGTAACAGCACTGACAAAAAATTGGGCCAGAACTATCCAATTTGCAAACTTGTTGGTGTTGAGGGCAAACCTATGCAAAAAATTAGAAAACAACAAAAATATTGTAAATCGTTTACCTGACGATTTCCCGGTGATGGTGTACACAATGTATCAATTTTTTGTTAAGATCACACCCAGTATCATCATCAAAGATATGTTTCAGATCATCACACAAGATATCAAACTGTGCTCCTATGTACACATTCAAAGCAGCAATCAAAGTATCAACACTAATCGCCGTCGTGGCGATAAAAAGCAGCCCAAAAATCTGATACAAGTATGTCAATTGATACTGTGGCCACTTTTTCGTCGACCACGGATACCACGCCAAGAACGGTAACGGAAAATCGTTGTTGGTTTTGTCCAGGACTGGATAAATCGACCAGAAAAATATAGCACCTCCACTCATCATCCAGTACATGAAGTAGTTAACTCTCCAGAAGAAGAAGCTGGGTTTTATCATAGCGAGTTGTTTGGCATTTTTCGGCTGAAATAGATCACTTCGGAGGGTGACCATCAGCCCTTTCAGAGTTTTCATGTTTCTGATGACGTAGTAGGCTTTCAGTAGACCAGCGATTTCGGAAAGTGTGACGTACGTTGTTTGGATGATTTTGTGTAAGTCGTTGAAGATGTAAATCATGTTGACCATCTGGAAGAAGTTGTGCCCGAAGTTGAGGAAAGTTATGGATAGAATTACCCATAAGGTGTACAGGTTGAATTGGTAGGTTTCGTTTCCGGATGGCCAGAGACCCACTATTTTGAGTTTGAGGATGTTGGTTTTGATTATTTTCTGCCAGTCGAACTTTTCCATTTTATCAATTATCAGTTTTGGGTAAAGGCTAAAAATAAAAATATTTCAGGAGGTTTAAGAAAATACGCAAAGACTGGTGGCTCTTAGAGTATCGACTGGTCCTTTTTATACCGTGTACCCGCTTGTATTAAAATCGTCGGCATTTTTTTAGTGCCTGAATGAAATTTTCCAATGTGGCCGAACCCCTCATTAATATATTTTTTATTAATAAGTGTAACCACCACTTACTACATTTATCTCTCGTTATTTAACAGTAATTAACTTCATCTGAATTTAATTTCGTGAGAAAATGCCATCCGGAAGATGTTCTTTTTCTCTTAGAATACATGAATTATGTTATTATGTTCGTTCCATGATGGATTTCTCTAAAATATTTACTTATTCAAAACCCTTTATTATTTTTGTTGTACTTTTGTGAGAGAAACATCAGATGCAGAATGTACAGATCATAAATAAATTATTTTAGTCCACGAAGAAATTAATTCATGTTGAATACGTACACGAGCGTAGTTCTTTCTCTGAGTGGAGTGGTTTTATTTTGTAACTAAGCGTGGCCACATCAAGAAGAAGTATTTAGATTGTTTCCCTAAAAGAGTTGGCTTAATAGAGTTTAAATTTAAATGGTGCAAGAATTTACTTACTTACTATTCCGATGATGGTCTTGTTTGTGTGAAGGTATGCACACGAATGCAGTTTCACATGCACGTTAAATTATGCACTCATTTATCTTTCGTTCCCAGAACGGAAACAAATTTTGCATGCTGTAATTATGCAACTTTAACTTTTCTAGCTGGGGTAGTTTTAATAATTAAAGGGATAATAGGTATTCATCGTACAAGTTTTTACTGTATAAAACGATTTTTATCAAAACGTAATTTATTCCAGGTTTTATTGTTGTTAGAAGTTTATAACTTTCAATTAAAGAGTACGTTTTGATAGTTAAAAAATTTTATCTTCGATGATGAAGTGGCATAAATTGTTTAAACATTTTTGGACAGACATAATAAATTACGAATAATTTTGTAACTCAATAGTGTTTTCTGACAAAACTTTGAGTCATATGTCGAAGTTTTAGCAAAATTTGGAGCTATTCCTTGGTTTTACAGTATTTTTTATTTAAAATTCTGCTCGATCCAGGCTGGATCTGATTGGGTTCTATATTCTACCTTTTATGAAATCTGTAATTGGAATCTGCATCTGCACTCACGTATGAAGTGTATTTGAAACCTAGAAATTTTCGGAAATTTTTAGGTTAAAATTATACAAGAGATTCCAGAAATCGAAAAACTCGAAGAACCCTGGACCAAAATTCTCGATTTTCGATTTCAAAGTGAAATTTTTAAAATATCCCAAAAATTAGCATATCTCATTTTGGAGAGTCTGAAAAATTCAGGAATTTTCGAAGAATTGATGCCGAAAAAACTTTTGAAGTTCAAAATTAACGAAAGAACATCTTGTAGCAATTTTTGAATGTGCTCGCGGAAAGGTCAAAATTTTCGTGCAGGGGTGTATTCAAAAATTAAGCTTTTGGCTTTTCTGAAGGAATTTTCGAAGAAATTAAAGTGAAAAAAATTCTGAAGATCAAAATTACCGAAAGAAAATCTTGTAGCGCAATTTTTGAAAGTGCTCGCGAAAAAGTCAAAATTTTCATGCAGAAGTGTATTCAAAAATTAAGCCTTTGGCGACGTCCGCAAACACATATCTCGATGAGTTGAATCGAAAAACTCGAAAAACATTGATTTTCCATTTTCGGTTTCACGGCGAAATTTTTAAAATCCCAAAAATTAGTATATTTTATTTTGAAGATTCTGAAAAAACTTCTGAAAATCGAAACTGACGAAAAAACATCCTGTAGTAATTTTAGACCAATTTTTCGGTTTTAAAAATTAGCATATTTCATTTTGAAGATTCCGAAAAAAAATCAGGTGTTTTCGAAGAAATGAGGGCGAAAAAACTTTTGATTGGCAGAATTACCGAAAGGATATCTTGTAGCAATTTTTGAAGGTGACCACGAAAAGGTCAAGGTTTTTATACCGGGGTGTACTGAAAAATTATGTTTTTCGTGGCGTTGCATAAAAATTCTAGAATACATATTTCGATAAGTTGAATGTGAAAACCAGAAAAACATTGCGTGGTGATATTTAATTGAAATTTATTTCAATTGCAGCAAAATCAAAATTTTGTTTTTTTTTCAACTTTTTCAAACAAAATTTGGAAACCCGAGATCTTTTTCAAATTTTTACAAAAAAAGCGCTAGGAGATTTCGGTTTTTCTTCAACAGATTTAATATACATTTTTTTCTTTATTTTTTGGCATAACACTCAGGGTTCCTTCTACTTTAAATTAAAAAAAAAAAATTATCCAAAATTTTTTAGATACAAAAATGTACTCGGAAACCCGCGATTTTGAAATTTATATCCAAAACATAATACCAGGGGTTTTCAAGATTTTTTTTTAATACTGCCAAAAAAAACTCGAAAACCCGAGATTGTTTTTAAATAAAAAAAAAACGCGTGGAAACCTGAAATTCTTTGCAGAAAAAAACGTATTTTTTTCAAAAACAAAAGAAATCTTGAGTTCCCAAAGTTTTCTCACGATTCTTAAAAAAAATGTTTGGAAACGCAATATCATTCTGAAGTTCAAAATTAAAAAATGAACCAAAGATTTGCAGCAATTTTTGAAGGTGTTCGTGAAAACATTCAAAATCACGTTCACGTTCAATGTTTTAAAAAATTCAGAAGAGCCCACCCCTCATAATTTAATTTTTTTTCGAAATTTCACTTAAAAATTGATTAGCATTAATCTGATTTAATTACACTGGCCGTTTTTTTTCGTTTTTTGACATATCTTTCTAAATCGATATTTTGTTTTTGTAAGTGAAAGTGAAATTGACGTAAGAAATTTTTTAATGATTTTTCTCGAACTTAGACATGTGAACTTAATAATGCACCGCCATTTTCTCAACACTCTGTATAGCTCGACGAGTTGAACCGTAAAACTCGAAAAACATTGAGTGATGATAACCCTAACACAAGATTTTCGATTTTCTCTTTGAAAGAAAAATTTTTAAAATATTTCAAAAATTAGCATATTTCATTTTAGAGATTTTGGGAACTTCCTAAGAAATGAAGTCGAAAAACCTTCTGAAGGTCAAAATTAAGGAAAGAGTATCTTTTAGCAATTTTTGAAAGAGACACAAAAAATTCCAGTGATTTTGGATTTTCGATGTCAAAGTGAAATTTTTAAAATATTGCAAAAATTAGCACATTTTTTTTGGATATTTTGAAAAATTACAAGAATTTCCGAAGAAATGAAGGCAAAAAAACTTTTGAAAGTCAAAATTATGGGAAGGATATCTTGTAGCAATTTTTGAAGGAGCTCGCATGAAGGTCATACGGGGGTGTATTGAAACATTAAGTTTTTGGCGACGTTGTATAAATCCCATAGAATTTCTAGAATATATATTGCAATTGAAAAACTCGAAAAACATTGCGTGTTGTTCAGAATTTTTGATTTTTGATTTCAAAGTGAAATTTTTAAAATGTCTCAAAATTAGCATACTTTATCTTGGAGATGCTGAAAAAGTTACAGGAATTTTCCAAGAAATGAAAGTTTATTATGTCGATGGACTCAAATGAAAAACTTGAAAAACGTTGCGTCCAAGATTTTTGATTTTTGTTTCAAAGTGAAATTTTTAAAATACTTTAAAGATAGTACACTTCATTTTGGAAATTCTGTAAAAATTAGAGAAATTTTCCAAGAAATGAAGGCGAAAGAAACTTCTGAATGTCAAAATTAACGAAATCAGACCTTGCGCCAATGTTTGAAGGGGTTCCCAAAAAGGTCAAAAATTTTATACCGGGGTGTATTGAAAAATTAAGTTTTTGGCGGCGTTGTATAAAAGTCCACAAAAGATTTTAGAATCTATAAATTTCTCGATGAACTGAAACGAAAAACTCGAAAAACATAGCGAGTTGATAACCTTAGACCAAGATCTTCGATTTTCGATTTCAACGTAAATTTTTTTAAATATCTCAAAAATTAGTATTTTTCATCTTGGAGGTTCTAAAAAAATTACAGGAATTTTCTACCAAATGGACCCGAAAAACTTTCGAAGTTTAAAACTGAAAAATCAAAGATTTGCATCAATTTTTTTTGGACAAAAGTCCACAAAAAATGTAGAATATAAGTATATCTCGATGAGCTGAATCAAAAAACTCAAAACACATTGTGAGTCGATAACCCTAGATCCAGATTTTCGAATTTCGGGGTCACAGTGAAATTTTTAAAATTTTCAAAAATTACCAGATTTCGTTTTGGAGATTCTGAAAAAATTATAGGAATTTTCGAAGAAATGAAGCTGAAAAATCTTGGAAAAGTCAAAATTATCTCAAGGATCTCTTGCAACAATTTTTGAAGGAAATCTTGCAAAGGTCGTACGGAGGTATATTGAAAAATTAAGATTTTGGCGATTTTGCATAAATGTCACAAAATTTCTAAAAACACTGCGTGTTGTCCAGGATTTGCGATTTTTGGTTTCAAAGTGAAATTTTTTAAAATATACCAAAAATTAGTGCACTTCATTTTAGAAATTCTCTAAAATTACAGGAATTTTTCAAAAAATGAAGGCGAAATAAACTTCTGAAAGTCAAAATTAACGAAAACAGATCTCGCAGCAATTTTTGAAAGTGTTCCCAAAAAAGTCACAAATATTATACCGGCGTGTATTGAAAAATAAAGTTTTTGGCGGTGTTGCATGAAAGTACACAAACAATTTTAGAATCTATTTTTCAATTTCAAAGTAAAATTTTTAAAATATCTGAAAAATTAGCATATTTCTTTTTGGAAATTCTGAAAAATTGTAGGAATTCTCGAAGAAATGTAGGCGAAAAAACTGCTGAAGGTCAAAATTGAAAAATGAACCAAAGACTTGCAGCAATTTTAGAAGGTGCTCGTGAAAAAATAAAAATTTTCGTACAGGGATGTATTCATAAAATTAA